GGGGACGCAGGAGGTGCGGGGCAGCTGCCGGCTGCAGGGGGAGCTGGGGCTGTGCGTGGCCGAGCTGGAGCTCCTGGCCAGCTGGTTCAGCCCCCCCACGGTGGTTGCAGGGAGGAAGAAGCCCGTGGACCAGCCGGAGGGCAGCCCGGTGGAGCTCTACTACACGGTGCAGCCGGGCGACGAGCGAGGGGACTGCGCTCGGGGGCACTCGCGGGCCGGCGGCGTTCAGGCAGACCACGGCGACATGGACGAGGCCGGGCCTCCCCTGCAGAGGATCGGGAGCGTTTTTCTGTACCAGACCCACAGTCGACCTCTCCTGCGGGAGCTGCGCCTGGACAGCAATGTGGCCATTCACTACGTCCCGAAGACGGTCCGACACGGGGATGTGCTGACCTTCCCTGTGTCCATCTCCAGAAACGCCACCGAAGACCACTTCACGCTGAGGTGAGTGTGCCCGGAGGCCCGGCCGGCAGCTCGGAGGTCGGGGTGGCTCTGAGAAGCCCGCCCTCCGATCCAAGGCACAGTGCCCAGGTTTCTACTCTCTAGTTTTACCGTCAGGCAGCGACAAGTGTGACCTTCCGGGTCGGCCGTTATTCGTAGGAAGGGATTCCCCAGGCCGCCGCAGAGTTGCCCGGGGCCGCGGCGGTGCCGCGGCCTCAGCATAGGGTGTCATCAGCAAGTTTTAGAGGAGCCGAGGCTGCCCTTGTGGGGCCACTGCAGAGCCGGATAGCTAAATGCCTTGTGGTTGAAACGAGCCCATCAGCGCGACTGCAACAGTTGTCAGAGAGGGCGAGAACACAGTTTTGCCAACTGCAAATCTATTCCAAATATGTTAGCTCCAAGATACGGTACCAGCCTCAAAGTTATTACGTTGTTTCTTCCTGGAAATAGAACTTAGTGTCAGAAAAAAGTAAAATGAACCAGCATAGCGTGTGAAGAATATCCAGTGGAATTTGTTGCATGTCTTACATAAGAATATACCAGCTATAAGGCATTTAAAGTGGGTACTGTGTACTTCGAAAAGATGCGCTCTCCTTGGAATATAGTCTAGGCGAGAAGCCACTGCCTTGGCTTGCTTACGTGTGCTTTGTACAGCTTCTGTGGCTTTGTCTGAAACACAGACGCGCTTGATTATAACAGCTACTCACGGTACGTGTGACAGGAAGTGCCCCGACATTGCTTCATACCTCGACAACTTGGTCTGAAGTGCGATGCGATAGAATTTGTGTTGCGACTCCCGGAGACAGGAGCAGGTGCCACTGCACGAGTGGCATTTTTATATGGGATTCGAAGCTCAGCCAGTCGAGATGGGGCCCCTCGTCCTCCATCTGGGCTTAGAACTACTGTTTCTCTGGTATCTTTTTGAGGGGCGGGTGAGTTTAAGGAAATGAGTCAGCATTCTGACTGAACCTTGCCCAGTGAAGTCGTATTGATGGTGACCGAGTATGAGGATCCTTTGTAACTTAAAGACACAGAAACCGGCAGCATGGAGGTAGGCACTGAGCAGGGCTCAGTCCTGGAAGGTGGCAGCGTCTGGCTTGGGTTGACGTGCATTGGGGATTACCACCAGGATTGGGGCTCACAAGCCCATCAGTGGCTGAGGGTCCCTAGGTTTTCCTGCTGGTTCTCCCCGTGTGTTCTGCTGGCGTTGCGCTCTGTGCAGGCTGGGCGTTCGTACATAATGTTCTCGTGGGGGGGCTGCTTGCAGAGGTTTTGCTGATAGAAACTCAAGGTTCTGAATGGGGGAGCTTTGTTCCTGCAGCCTGTCACACACGCTGCCCTCCTTTGGGTCGGCCAGCTGCAGTGTCGATTTCCTGAACTGAGGGTTACGAGCCCAGACCCCCGAAGCTTTGACAATTTGGAGAGGAGATTGCATCCGCCTATTCTCAGAAGCCGTCGCACGCACGGTGCTGAATCCCACACGATGCGGTTCCTCGTGGCTGTTCATTGCACACTAAATGAACGTGCTGGCTTTTCTTGGACCATCTAAGAAAACCAAGAGGCATCTGCTTTGCGGAGCTGCCCAGTCCAAAGACCCCAAGCCTTTGCACATCAGAAGCAATCTCATTTGAGTCAAAGATTGCAACGTTGTGGGTTTACGACAGACGGTGTCTACTTGTTCAGAACCATCAGCTTTGTAAACATTCGCTTACAAAATGGGTTTCCACATCTAGTATCTTATGACCATAGATGAACGTGGCAACAGGGTGCACGCCGCTTCTTTAAGAGCTCGCATTACAGTGTGCTTGCTGTATATACCTGGAGTGCCCCGATTAAGGGGGCTTACCTGTTTACAGGAACAGCTGCAGATGCATGGACTGAGCACTGTTCCAGCCTTCCGTCTGAATGCCCGTAATTAGACAATAATAAAGCTGCCTATCTTTTTAAATGAAGTTGATAGCACGCTAATTTGGCACAGCTTCCAAATATTTGGAACCGGTAGAGTGCAGGATATGTGGACATCTGCTGTCAACAGCCCGGAGGGCCCAGCCAAATGTCCTCGGGCACTTTCTCTGCAGTCGTGATGTGCCCAGATCCTCTGTGCCGACAGTGACGACTCATCCTCGGGGGCGGGCTTCATAGGTCGGGAAGGATGGCCTGGGAGAGAGGGAGTCAGATTAACAGCCTGGAGCAGGGGGAGCCCGTCCAAATGTCCAAACCTAGAGCTCTTGTCACTGCCGTTTGGAGTCCTGGCTGACAGTGACTGCCCACCTCCCGGTTCCCTGGGCACCTGGGGCTCACATGGGACATGGGCTTCTAGTTTGGGAGCCAAGTTTAATCATGAAGTGTTTAAGTCAAGTCAGTTTGTAAAAAGAAAGGGAATCATAAAACCAAACTAAAGAAAACGAAACATGCTCTGTGCGAACAAGAAGCCCTGGGTGGGCTTGGCCAGCTTGTAATTGTGTTCTACCCAGCGCTCCTGTCTTCCAAGGCCGATCTACAGAACAGCGAAACACTTTCATTTCTTTGACATCCAAGGACCCCTTTTAATTTCTGAAATGTTTTCTTCAAGTGGACAACCGAAGGTTCCCCGTGGGACACGGACCATTCTCCACCTTCTCACCCACAGCTCCCCTCCCACCTCCCTCTGCACAGAGGGAGCTTCAGTAAGGGCCGGGGTCTCTGCTTACTCAGTCTGGAGCAGAGTGTGCCCAGAGCATCTGCCCCCAGAGTCCATTTCCGGGAATTCTGGCCCCCAGATCGAATGGGAGACGGGCGAGATACCCGCATCAGCCTGGTTACCGACCAGCCCAGCAGAAGCAGGTGAACCTTCAATGACGGAGCAAGACTGGAACGAGTGGGGCTTCTGTCCGTCAGCGTGTGTGGTTTCTGAACGCACGCACGCACGCTGACGTTTTCACAGATGCGTTTCCTTTCCCGTGGCCTCTGCTTTTTAGTGCTCACGACTTTGTTCAGCACCTGTGCCCACCGCTGTGATTAGATTTGAGACCAGCTTGGAGTAAGACATCGTGACCAAGGAGCTATTCTTGCAGAGGTGAGATTGACAAGGGAGAGAGCGAGAGCACAGGAAGGAGGTCTGGTAAGGAGGAAACGTGAGCCTGGGATTGAGAAGGCTCGCAGGGTACTCGTGGGTGGTTTGGGAAGCCTGAATGCAGAAGGTTTGGAGCTTATTAGAAAATAGTATGGTGGCCCGAGATTGACCTTGAGCGTAATGATGTAGCCCTTGACCTGCCTTGGTCGGGAGTAGGGCCTCTTCTTAGTCTGCTTCGGATAGAGCAGGCCCTGGTGTACCCTTCGTAGTCTGTGATATGGGCCATAAACCCCACCCTGACTAATTGAAGGAACATCTAGACAGCTGACTGGGTGGATGCGACGGGGCTCCAGCATGAATAAGAGGCCCAGTGGGTAAGGCCTAGCCCCCGCACTGTGAACCGTGGTTCAAAACCACGCGAGGGGCGTGCCCTGCAGGATAGTGACAGGATGGGAAGATGGAGAAGGGACTGTGGTGCGTCCATGCCCATCGGGGGCGTGGACTCTTTCTCACCACCCTTCCTCCTTCTAGTAGGTTCTCACAACCTCTGTCAAAAAAAAAAAAAAAAAAAAAAAAACAAAAACAATTACCGCATCCAGCATGTTGGAAGAGCAGTAGCACAATACCCCATACTTCTGGAAGCCATATGGAAGATTGGAGTTCAGTTTCCTTGTCAACCTATACATGCCTGACACCTACATTTGTGCCTGTTATCCTGGCTGGCTGAAAGTCTGGTGGATAGGAATCATAATGTGATACCCTTATAAGGGTCTCTCTCTCTCTCTCTCTCAATAAACAAACTTTAAGAAAAATTCCTGTATGTTGTAGGTCTTCAGTAAACATTTGTTGGTGAATGAGTGATTATCCTAACTTAACCATGCATATCTTAGGGGAGAGAATGTGCCTTCCCATTGATCTTTTCACTACAATCTATCACAGTGCCACACAAATAGAATTAGTCCTTTTACATGTTTATTATTATTTTTAAAAAAAAAAAAAAAAAAAAAAGAAGCACAAAGCATTGCTAAGAGCTGGGCTGGGACTCGGGAACACAGGTGTGATGGAGGGGGTGCCACTGCTGCGATGCACTCCTTCCTGTCACCCCTTCTTGTCATCCTCGCGTAAGATGCAGAGCCACTTGGAACTGTGTTGGGCGGGAGAGGGGACTCGCGCGGCTCCCAGGAAGGGGGTGGGCCGCTCAGGTTACCTCTAAGAAGACACGGTACAGGACAAGCTGCTTCTCCGCTGGGGAAACGGGTGCTGCTGAGACAAATGCTGGCACCCTTGAATCCCACAGCTGTGCCGTGGCCTCTGGTCGGTGCCCAGGGTGCTTCCTTTGTCGCCTGGGAGAATGGGCGGAGGGACGTGAAGTGGAGGCGGCGGGGCGGGCAGGACCGAGAGCGCTCTCTTTTCAGCAGACATTCACCGTGGCCTGACTTCCTAGGCATCACAAAGCTGTGAGGTCGGAGCGGAGGTCAGAGCGGAGCTTTTCCCCAGCCCACTAGCTTCCTGAGCCAGCACCGAGAGGGTAGCGGAGCCCAGGGCTTAGTGGCCTTTCCTTCGTCTGCCTCGTGCGCTGTGCTGTCACAGGACCTCCAGGCCCCTGCGTGTCACTCAGCCACCGCGTCTCCTATGGCTGCTTCTGAGACCTTTTGTTTTTGAAGGCCTAGACATGGAGGCTCGTGGGTCGGCTGTTTTCCTCACTGTTAGGCTGAGGCGAGGGGTTTCGAGGAGGAAAACCCCAGAGGGCAGTGCCATTGTCCCTGTCTGTTCATGCTAACTCCCCGGAAGGTGTGAGCACGGCTGTGGGGTGGCGGGAGGGAGGGTTTGCATTGCCTTCCCTTAAATGTCCGGGAGGTTGCAGCAGTGAGCTGACCTCAACCTGGAAATGGCACGTTCGGGAAGGTTAGTGACCTCTGGTAGGGCTATTAAAGTTAGTTTAATTCTCCTT